GGCGGCCCGGCGTGGCTGGCGATCTGGATGCGGTGGGGCCGGCGGCTCACTAGTCTGCCAGAGATCCAGGGGCATCATCGTCTCTGACTTGATCTACTTCGGTTCGTGCTAGATCCGGTACAGGGAGACTGTCATCATCTCCCGGTGTTGGCTACATGGATCTGACGGCGACGGCTGGACCCTTGGTCTAGTCTTTGACAGAGAAGGCGGCGGTCCATGCACAAGAGGCGGATGGAGTTCTTCGAACAGATCTGGGTGAAAACCTGCTCTTAGGTAGATGCCAAAGCCGGCGGTGGCGGCGCTCTACGGTGTCGTTTCCTTCTTGAAGGCATCGTCGTGGAGAAGTTCTAGACTACGATATGCTACCTCCGGGAGAAACCCTAGATCGATATATCAGAAGACGGCGACACGTTTGTGTCATTCCCCCTTGGGGGCGTCTTTCTTGGAGGTGTACGTGGGCTCGATCGACCAGTAGACGGCGTCTTTGGTGGACCGGTGCTTCATCATGCACATTGATGGTGATAGATTTCGATGGCATGGCGCTCTGGAGATTAGGCGTCTGATGTGCGATGATGGACTCACGCACGAGGGTGACGCTGTCTGGTGTCGTGGTGGCGTCGACGGCAGCTAGACCGGGCAAAGTAGATGCAGCAGTACAGCTCTAAAGATATATTGGTGGCAGGTGGCTGCGGCGGCCTCATACCCGGCAGGCGTCCTGGTTGGGACCTCAGATTTTAGATGTTAGTTTTGGCTGCGAGGTCTGTTTGGTATTAGGTCCAGACTATCAACATCCCTTTATTAACTGGATAGGAGTAGCGACAGATGTTGCCTAGACGGTGAATTTAGTCTTACCGTTGTATGACTTTGTAAGGTCTCATGTGAATAGTTAATAAAGTGGCTGCATGCATCGTCCAGATGCAAAGACCAGGGGTCCTCCTCCTTTTCTAAAAAATGTATAGATGACATAAATATAATTACATGAAACGATGCAAATAGGCTCGTGTACTTTAGAAATAGGCTTTTGCCCCACTTTCAAACTCCGAAACAAGAACCACGGCTCGGGCAACACCACAATCACGTCCAAAAGATACAAAAGAAATAGGGAAAAAGCCACCTAGTGGCTTCCGACACACGGCCCTACGAAGACGATAGACGACGCTGTAGCAGAAATGCATCTAGCATGAGCCGGGTCAAATCGCGATCCCACTGCCTAGAGAGCGGGTGCCAGTGCTGCAGAAAAGGAATTTGAAGAATTCAGACGCCTGTAGCAGAAAGACCTGCTCAATCACCATTTTATTATGTGTTGTCCATAAAATCCATGACATCACCGCAAAGATAAGTCGGAATAGATGGCGATGCCGTCCAAGTTGTGTAGCTCTGGCCTGAAGGAACTCTGCGAGGTCCAGGGCCTCCCAGTCGGGCCCTAGTGCTTCATGAACGAACGTCCATAGGACCCGAGCCGTCGTACACGAGTCTTCAGTATCACACATAAGGAGCAAATGCGATCACCTGGGCCTTACCGCTTAAGTACTTCGGTCTTCGAAGGGAGGCGGTCTCGTAGAAGTTGCCACACAAAAATCTCAATCTTCAAAGGTAAAGGTGCTTTCCACAAGGGGGGAAGGCAGACGATAATGGGTGACTGGCATAATGCCTGGTGTGTTAAGTTCACCGAAAAATCACCCGACTGCGAGAGCCGCCAAGCTACGGAGTCCGGATAGCACGGAAGCATCGGCGGGAGGGTCGTCTACAATCTAGTCCAATCATCATTCTCTGATTGCCCAAAAGTACGGGGGAACCATAGATCCCACTGTCCAGATCGAGAAGCCGCAAAGACTAGTACTAGCGGTTTCGCGCAGATTAAGAATAGGCCAGGAAAGCTCACCCTAAGAGGCTCGGTACCCAACCAGGGGTCCAGCCAAAATTGGGTCCCAGCCCCATTTCCTAGAGAAGGAGACTCCTACATGAATCTCCTTCTTGATCCTTTGTATGTATCTCCAAAACTGGGACCCTCCCGAGCGGGAGCATGCCAAGAGAGGCCCACCTCTAAGGTATTTAGCCTGAACGAGCTGAAGCCACAGGCCACCCTTGCCGCTCATGATCCACCAGACTAATCGCAACATGAGCGCAACGTTCATACGACGGGAGGCCATAATACCCAGGCCTCCCCGGTCCTTGGGCATACAGATGGCTGCCCACTTACAGACAATCACATACACACATATGCTCATCCTTATAAATGCACGCATGCACACCCTACTCTTATGAGCACATCCGAAAGACTGAGCCGGCACCTCATCTTGAGATTGACAAAGTTGTCACACACGCCTTCATAGTCAACAGGAACATCTCCTCCCAGTGAACACACATCATCGGAAGGTCTGGGATAAATCCAGAAAAATGCGAACACCGGTGTCAAGTCTAGTACTTGATCTCTGGTGGGTTGGGGATATCATTGTCCTTCTAACTATCCAACCACGGGTTGGTTCGCGAGGGTGATGTTTTATTGACATGCCAAATTCCAAGCTCAAACACATTACGAAATGTGAGCTATGAAAAAAAATGATGAATAGTGACATTATTGTTCGGCACTATTTAGTGCTGATTTTTTTGTTTTCATAGCTTGCATCATGTAATGTGTTTGAATTTGAAATTTCAAATGGCAATAAAACATCACTGTTCTAAACCTAGACCATATTTGTGCCAAACAAGTTTTAGAAATGTTTGACATTTGTTGGCTATCTTTTAAAAAAATCAATTGGGTTAAATGTGCAGGAGAATATCATACAAAAACCCTCATTCGATGAAAACCATGCGGAAAAGACCACTTCAAGTTTCAAAAAACATGGATGTTTTCAAGAATGTTAGACAACGACGCTTAGTCGCCTCGAAAAGAACACTAAACCTAGTTAAGAAAAGATTGAGAACCCTCCAACCGAAGAGGGACCGGGATCCGCCGTGCGGCCCATAGAGCCACCGAGGGCGAGGCAGACCGACAACGGCACTGGCAAGAGGAATGGGCGACTGGGTGTTGGGAGATGGGATTGGAAGAGCCCCAGTTTGTGGCGGCTTCTGCATGACTTCGTTCTTTTGTGATCCCTATGCGTGTTTACATTGTACTCGGGTTTTAAGGGTGCAAAATTTTAAAACCCCTCGTTAGAACTGAGCCTGCTTTGATTTGATGAATTTTGTAGGAATTCCATGATATAGATTCCTATAGAGTTTTCCCTTTTTAGGGTTTTTACATGAATTTTATGAAAAAAGGATAGGAATTCTATAAGAAAAATTTCTTTGGAGCCCTTTATTTTATAGGAATAGAATCCTATTCGTACACAGGATATGAATCTATCCTTTGTATTTCAAAGAAAAAAAATAGCTAAATTGCATGGAAAAAAATCTTATCTTATGAACCAAATGACATCCCTTTTCTTATAGGATTTGAGATACATGTTATTTTTTTTTGTGATTTTTCTGTTCTAATGATATTCCTATTCTATGAACCAAAAGAGGCTTGAATCTCTTGGTTTGCAAGAATGAATTCCTATTCCTATGTACGATTGATTCATGTCCTTCACACTTCAAAGGAAAAATAGATTAGACCTAATGAGAAAATTCCTACCCTATTAATCAAATGATATTTTTCCCCTTTATAGTAACTGAGATATATGCCATCTCAATGCTTATGACTTCCCTGTTTCTGTTCCTATGATATGTCTATTGTACTCCTTTCGTTCTCAAATATAAGTCTTTCTAGAGATTTCAATAGGTGACTACATACGAAGCAAAATGAGTGAATCTACACTCTAAAATATGTCTACATACATCCGCATGTTATAGTTCATTTGAAATGTTCTAAAACGACTTATATTTCGGAACGGAGGGAGTATAAACCAAAACCAAAGAAAACCGTGTGGAGGTGTGTCTTTGATAGATATTGTGGGATTTGGTCGTTGTTCGTCTTTGATGGATCCCTGTGGATCCAGTCTTCGTTCGTGTGACTATAGTTGGGATCCATTCGATTTATACTTCTCTTTATTGGCGGCAGCTGCTATTCTGTTGTGTTGGTCCTGCGAATCCTTAACACGATAATTTTCTACCTATTCATTAGTACAATAATTTTTGCCCGGCTTATGTGAGGAAGGGCCAATGACGACGACGCACATTCGGCTCCCTCATACGGACCTGAATTTATTTTTTGTATTTTTCAATGTTTTTTACGGGATTGTTATTTCTTTTATGTTGTTTGTACTATCACGACAGATGACCAATAGATCAGATTTCCTTTTTAAAGCAAAGGCCTGAGGCGTGAATGAAGACTGAAGAGTGGGAAACGCGCCATCTGCTTCACTGGTAGGCGGCAGCTCCGACGAAAAAGAAAGGAAACCAACATCTATTTCGGCTGCTCCGTGCGTCGTTGATTGGATGCACCAACACACGGGGAGGAACGCCCAGCCCGTCCAAACTCAAACCAGACCACCAAACAAGGCAAAAATAAAAAACGAGGCGAGGCGGCAGCCGACGACGAGCAGCAGCGGGAAATGTCGGCGCTGCAGAGCTGGCGCAAGGCGTACGGCGCGCTCAAGGACACCACCACCGTCAGCCTCGCCAGCCTCAACTCCGACTTCAAGGTTCCCCCTCCTCCCCTTCTCCCCTCGCCGTCTCTGGGCGCCAAGTTCACTCGGTTCTCCCCCATTCCCCTAACCGTCCGAGGCGAGGGGTTCAGTTGCTGCGCTCACGCGCTTTGGATCTTTGGTTCTCACTCCATCGACTCGAGATTTATTCTGCCATTTTCCCTAGGATCTGGATGTGGCGATCGTGAAGGCCACGAACCATGTGGAGTGCCCGCCCAAGGATCGCCACCTGCGCAGTACGTCGATTGATTCTCGCACCCCGAGTTCGTCTTATATTTCTGGCTTAATTTAATCTAGTGTGCGCTGGGTTGAGCAGTGGGGTAGAGGGTGCCGTAGTCTGTCCCAAGTCTCGGTTCGGTTTGGTGTTTGATCAGTTGGTGGTGGTGTTGCAGAGATTGTGGCGGCTTCGTCCATGGCCAGGCCCCAAGCGGACGTCGCCTACTGCATCCACGCGCTTGCCCGCCGCCTCGCCAAGACCCGGAGTTGGATCGTAAGCACTGTGCACTCCCTTCTCCCGTGAAATCTTTCTTCCATTCATTTGGTACATTTGATTGATCCTTCTATGGATAACCACGAGGCCTTTCGACCTGCGTTTTCCGTATTGCTGCCGCTTAACTGTTGCACGGTTACTGAAATTTGTGCAGTATCCCCAAATGTAATCAGTCAATAATCAATCTGTCCAACTGCTGCCTGTTGAGCCTAAATTGGACGTAGTTTGGTTCACTGTCTTTGTTATCCAAGGCAATAGTTCTATATGCGTTTATTCTCGGATCGATACATCACTTGTTGAATCTGGCATTGAGAATACCATCATGTTGCTACGTATGACCTCCAGTGCGATCCCAGTTTGTACCGACGGTTGATTGCAGATATTGGTTGATTTGGAACCTAAAACCTCAAGCGTGGCCAACAACTGCGCAATTTGGTCTCAAAACGACTTTACACAATATGGTTTATATAGCCGAGTTGGAAATTACAGTATCAGGGTTTGTTATTTGTAACTTAATTTACTTATGTTCCTTCTTCCTATTGCATTGCATATACATTGCCAATTTCCCAGCACAAAAAGATGAACATACATGAGAATGTCCAAAACTGTTTGTGCCATCAGAAGTCAAAACAACGGGGATCAGGGGTCCAATACTTGCGCTGATGTCTGTGAAATTCCAATTCAAATCGCCAATCTTCATTGCGCTACAATGTGCCAATGAAATTCGCTAGCATGGTATCTGGCATGAACACTACACAGCTGAAATAGCTTATACCTTGGAGCTGTGAGTTGCCGAGTTCAAACCCAATATGTGCATATAATTCATTGAAACTCACTGTCTTCTTAGTTTCTCCATTTTCTTGGATTAGCTTTCATATTCTCAATCCAGTGATGTTATAGTATCATATTAAGTGCTTATGCCGGAATATTTCTTATTTACTAACTTGATAGGTGAAGTTCAACATTTTGAAGAGGAGTCATGTTCAGCCAATCATGCTTTGCTCTGCTGGTTTTTTCTTCTTGCAATTACCTTAACAGGAATAACCTCAAAGTTTTTTGAGTTCTCAAAAATTGTATCTAGTAATATTTGTAGTGTTTTACATCTTTTCGGTTAACTTGATAGGTGAAGTCTTTGTCCACCATCGTGGGAGCCAACTAATTTAGCATGCATTTTCACGCACTATGCAGGTTGCACTGAAGACACTTGTGGTGATCCATCGACTCCTCCGGGATGGTGAACCTACATTCCGCGAAGAACTTCTTAATTTTACACAAAGGGTCCAGATTTTGCAGTTATCTAACTTCAAGGATAACTCCAGTCCTATTGGTCAGCATTTCTATTTCTCTATTTGCAGCATGACATCATGCCTTGTTCAGCTCAACATTCTGCATGCTAAATTTCCTTTCTAATCTTGATGTATATATCCAGCTTGGGACTATTCTTCATGGGTTCGAACATATGGTTTATTTTTGGAGGAAAGACTGCAATGCTTCAGGATCTTGAAGTATGATATTGAAGCTGAGCGTTTGCCCAAGCAAGGTCAAGGGACTGAAAAGGTTTGAGAATTTGCATTCTCATAATAAAAATCAGCTTTCAGAGTTATGACTAAATTGGAAAAGTTATACAATTTTTGCCAATTATTATCTGTTGATTATCTAGCTGGTGCTGCTTTAATTTATCATTAGACTTATTTTCAGGCACACAGTCAAACCAGAGAATTAGATTCTCAGGCCTTGCTGGAGCAGATGCCGGCACTTCAGCAGTTACTATATCGACTTATTGGATGCCGGGTGATTCTCTCTTATACCTACCATCCACTACTCTGCACTAGTCGAAAATTGAATTTTTGGATAATCCGTTTCCCCCTCAGTATTTTTATGGACAGAACATGACATGCCTTTTCCTTTTCTGATGCAGCCAGAAGGAGCTGCTAATACCAATTATTTGGTGCAATATGCTCTAGCCCTTGTAAGATTTATTGTTTAGTCATCACTTTTTCCTTTTCTTATTCAATCTGAAAAATCATATTTAATTTGACCGTGCAACTATACTTTCGCGAATCTCTTTGGTTGCCTTGGGCACTTAATAGTTTCTCTGAACAGAGAATAATGTGTGCCGGTGGTGTTACGGTGGAGCAGTTCTTTTCCTTCCATATATATTTTCTGTAAAACAAAATTTATGCAGTAACATAACATGTTCTATTTCTTTTCTAACAATTTATTGTTTGTTATATTTCTAGTATCTCCTCTGATTTTAAATACAAGGCCACTATCAAAAATACCATTTACATCTATACAAAGCCACTATCTCTTCCCGAGAAGAATTTATTAGATTTTTGCCTTGTAGGATGGTGCTTATAGAGAAAGAGGCATCACATGCAACATATTTAATTAGCTCGGAACACGAGAGGTTTTCCGCACAATTAATTGTGTTATTTGTTAGTTGGTTTTGTTTTCTTATATGAAAAATGGGATAGTGGCCTTGTATACAAAAGTGGAGGGAGTAATATTACAGTCAGCTAGCTGATTCCTTAGCACATTCGCAGAAATTTCCACTTGCCGAGTTGTTGATTTAACTACACCCCATCTCCCATCGTGCGTAAAAGGATATAATTTTGCTCCTTTTATGACAAGTAATCACAACTTCACATCTGTACTTTGATTCTGCACACTTTATAAAATGAGGGAAAACATTCTGTTCACATAGGCAACATGAATGGGCAAATGGCTCCTGTATTTTCTCGAAAACATGCCTCATTAGTTGTTAACTTGGTAATTTGAGTGGATGCCTTCATTTCCCGCAGGTCCTTAAAGAAAGCTTCAAAATTTATTGCGCAATAAACGACGGAATTATCAACCTTGTTGATAAGGTAAATTATTTTTCAAAGTGATAGCATCATTTTTCTTGTCGTGACAAGTTATGTGCAATTTTTTCATTCTTTTTGCTGAACAACTATGTAGTTTTTTGAGATGCCAAGGCATGATGCACTTAAAGCCCTTGAAATATACAGGAGGGCTGGCCAACAGGTAAATCTGTAGGGTGATCGCGTAAAATTTGTCTTACATCGTAGAGGATCAAGATGATAGCAATTGCCTGTGATTATTTTGGCATTTTTACCGAACAACTTTACTTGGATGCTTCAGGCTGGAAACCTATCTGATTTCTACGAAAATTGCCGGGGATTAGAACTCGCAAGAAATTTCCAGTTTCCCACTTTGAGGGAGGTGAGGTTTTGTGTTTATGGTGTAAGTTCCCATTGTTTACTATCCGGTATATCACTGTACTCACTTCAATTTTATTTGTTCTCAGCCACCACAGACATTCCTTTCAACCATGGAAGAGTACGTGAAGGAGGCTCCACGTATGGTTCCAATTAAAGACCCCTTGGTTAGTTAAGATTTAGCTAGTATTTCAGTCTAGACAACAATCTTGTTAACTTGTTCATTCTTCTTTCACTGCTATAGTGATAGAAACATGTATTTTTGTTACCATCCAAGTGACGGTTAGCAATTTTAATAGGTTCTGTAATGGTCATTGTGTCACCACTATGAAAGCACATGTAGACTATTTTTTCCCCTTAATCAATATATTGATGGCTAGAATTTATTCTTACACTTGCGTAATTGTTATTTTATCAGGAGTTTCCTGAGAGGCTTCTTCTTACATACAAACCAGAAGAATCAGAAGAAGTTCCTGAGCCTGTCCCTGTTCAGGAGGAAGTTCCGCAAATGGAAGAACCTGCTCCAGTACCATCTTTAACTGAAGTAGCTTCATCTCCTCCCAACACCAGAGTTGCAGATACTGGTGATTTACTGGTAAGCAAAAAAGACCATTTGCTGAATTTTACACCAGTGCATTTTTCACAATCTAATGTCATGTCTGCTCCTAGGGATTAAGTGATCCAAACCCCAGTGTATCGGCAATAGAGGAAAGCAATGCTTTGGCCTTGGCTATTACTCCGACAGGTAATTAGTCAGCATTCAATTCGTAGAGATGTCTGACGTCAATCTGATATTAGGTAATTCTGAAGATTATCTGCATAATGCAACAGGTGTTAATACTTCAACAACTAGCACAGCCTCAGTGCAAGATATAGGATTTGACCCAACGGGATGGGAACTTGCTCTTGTCACTACCTCGAGTAGCAACACCAATTCACTGGCTGTTGATAGTACTTTGGTTGGTGTCTTTACCCTTTCTCTGAATATATTTACCTTACTGTTGGTTGCCTCTGTTCAAATCTGGATCTGGAACCTGCTAGGCTTCTATGCGTCTGCTACTGATTTCCTGCAAGCTTGTCGCAGTTTTGGTCTAAGTAGGGCTGTAAATCGTAACCATAGCGGTTTCATGGCGTCCAGCAAGCTTTTCACAGTTTTGGTAGGATTCTGACCATAGCCTAAAACTCAGTTGATGACTGGACGAAAATCAGCATGTGCCTGGTTGATTGTCCTTCAGTACCTGGAGGAGTGACTACTTGAGACCTATTGTACCAAAATGCATTCACATAAAAACGAAGCAATATTTTTTTGGATAATATATGAAGGAATAGTTGAAATTATAATCCGTAGACATTCCTTCATAATTACCTAATGGCTCTCATGAAGAATAGTTGAAATTATAATTCGTAGACATTCCTTCAATACCTGCAAGGTCATTCACTGCCTCGTCATAACAGTGTTCAGGTTCACAACTTTAGGCACGCAAATTTTTCGACACCCGAACCTTTTGGAGGTATAAATTGCCGCCGCAATATTTCAGGCCAGCTGAAACCACTTCTCAGCTACCCAAATGCATCTGCAAATAAAAGTTGATGACAAGGGCTTGCAGCCAGATGATGTGTGGAAAGCTATAGATTTCTTGCACTGATTATATTTTCCTGTCATCAAAATCGTAATGTCTTTCTTTAATTATCTGTGTATCCGTCTGATTGTCAAACTTGTCACTCTTATTCCTGATTGTTGCAGGGCGGTGGATTCGACAAGCTCACGTTGGACAGCTTGTACGACGATGGAACCTACAGGCAGATGCAGCAACAGTTGCCATACGGTTCAGTACCTCACAATCCCTTCATGGCGAGCGACCCTTTCACGGTGTCTAATCAAGTAGCTTCTCCGCCATCGGTTCAAATGGCCGCCATGGGACAGCAGCCCCAGCAGATGCAACCAAATCCCTTCGGACCACCGTCGCACCCACAGCCTGTGCCAAACCCATTCCTCGATGCCGGCTTCGGCCCTTTCCCGGCAGCAAATGGAAATGGAATGCACGCACAAGCCAACCCGTTTGGAACCGCCCAACTTCTATAGCTTCACACCATACAGTCACAGTTACATACACGTTGCGCAATGCCAACCCAAATTCCAGAGTTACATACTGCGTGTTGAGAAGTTCAATCTCCTTGCGTCACGAATGTCAATGCCAGCTTTGTCCTGCCATCTCTCGGGCGTTGGCTGCTTGATCAATTCTTGTATAGCCCGTGCTTATTAAATTTTGGTGTATATTTTTTCACCGCTTTGACGGTTATGGAAGACCCTCCTTGTGAAGAATTTCGTTATTGCTGATGCAGCATCACATGCCAATGAATATGTATATGCGGATACAGGAAGCGCGGAGGTCACAGTTCACGAGTTCTTGATCCCCGCTCCCCAGCGACTCGATTTTTTTTTCTGCCAAGTGTTTGTTTCTCTTCACCCGCAAAAGAAGAGAAGTGCTCAAGAGAAGGGTTTGTTCTTCTTTGGTCTCCGATGAGAGGAAACATCCTTAACTTCTCGTTTAATCTGCACATTTATTGGAGTATCACAATTCAGACAAACGTTCATTTTTTGAGACGGGTTATATGCGACAGGAGTGAATGATTGTGCTTATTTCAAAGGTGGATGAACCCAAACGTCTTACCGAGCCCAGACCTATTAGCCTGTGCGATGTTATCTAGTACAAAGTGATCGTTAAATGCATGGTGATACAGCTTCGGCCTCTATTTGACAGCATCATTTCTCCTAACCAGAGTGCTTTCATCCCTGACAAATTAATTACAGATAATGTTTTCATCAATTTTGAGTGCATTCACACTACTCCCTCCGTCACGGTTTAGAAGGCACAGTTAGATTTACGTGCGTTTCCAAAATAGACAAGATTTAAAGCGCCAATACAATTACTCCTAGCTAATTAATACTCCGCTCTACTACTACTGTATGCATGCGACCTGTGAATCCTACGCGGAAACGGTCTCCACCAGTGCATGCGGGAGGGACTCCACGTTTAGTGGCCGGAGTGTTACTGCATGGATTTTTTTTTCAGTCACGCCCAAAGAAAAACAGGGCCAATCAGGATTCACCTAGATCCCAACGATTCCAAATGTACGCCCTATAAACCGTGACGGAGGGAGTATTAAACAAGAGAACGGTCCAGATGGGAGTTAATGTGCATACAAATTGAATTTATCGAAAGCTTATTAATGGTGGATTGGAAATTCTTGAAGCGAGTGATGCAACAGATGGGTTGAATGCTCGAGCTGCCCTTGAGCAAAGAGATGATGTGATCCAAAGCATCCTTAGCATTCACAACTGGACGAATGTGACGGAGTTGATTGGGCGGCAAGGATTGTTGAAGGATGAACAAGGAGGATGCGTTGAGTTGCTTGTCCACTTCTTCTTTTTATGACGAAATTCTTGGATCATATGGGTGATATCCTTCTTCGATGATTCCTCACAATTGAGTCGAAGAACCGCTAATAAAAGACTTCATTCAAAAAAACCAATTAGCAAAGTTAGTCGTATCATGTTGAGGAGAAGTGCCAAGATGCGTGATATGAGGTGAGGGAAGCAGAACACCATAGACCTGAGGTAGGCCACCTCGGCATGAGCACCCGACCCATTTTTCTCTTAGGAAGGATTAGGCTCCACGCCACTAGGAGCGATGCTATACACACGATGGTGTGCGAACGATTTGTGAACGATCATATATATCAGTCCATCCATGCACGTGAATGAAGTGCAGCCGACGGCTGGATTCGGCGTCGTTCCACTGTCGTGCATGGCGTGTCGTCTGCCCAGCACTTTCGCGCCACTAGTCATCCCCTTGGAGGCATCCAAGGAGGTAGCATCAACTTCCTTCTTGGAAATGGTGGCGATAATAGTGGTAGACATCCTAGAAGGAATTTATTCAACATGATTTGCAGTTTGTCCACTATGTTCGTGTTAAATGTCTCAAGAGCGGCATTTAACTCGGTCGGGAAAATCCATCTTTCTCCCCTCCCCTCCCTGAGGCGCTCCCGCGGGCGCCCCCGGGAGGAAACTCTAGCGCCGCCCCCGTCGCCCTCTTCGCCTCAACCCCCTCCCTCGCTGCCACCTGGGGCGTTGCCGGCCAAAGGCCGTGTGGCGTTGGCGGCGGCGGGGCGGCTCTCTCCCGCCCGCAGTTGGGGACTTCGCGGGGCGTTTCCATCTGCCTGGTGGTGCCGGGCGTCGGGCCGGCCCTGCCTCGGCTCCTACCCCCCTCCCGGCGTCCTTAGCTGGCGCCGCCTCCTGCCCTCCGTGGTGGTGGGTGCCGAGGGATGCGGATCTGGGATTCCCCGCCCAGATCCGGTGGATGGTGGGGGTTGGTGTTGGCAGCGGTGGCCGGCGGCCCAGGCGTGGTGGCGGCGAGTCTCGCGGCCTCTGGGCATCATGGAGGTGCCGGCAGCGGCGAGTGCTTAGCCTGGTGGTGGCGGCGGCCGTGCACGGGAGTTGGATTCCTTCGAACAGATCTGGGTGAAAATTTGCTTTCGGCTACTGCCAAGGCCTGCGGTGGCGGCGCTATCTGCATCATTCCCTTCTTGAAGGCATCGTCATGGAGAAGTTCAAGGCCACTCTCTGCTACCTCCGGGGAAAACCCTAGATCAGATGATCCGATGACAGCGGCGCTCTAGTGTCGTTCCCCTCTTTGGGGTGTCATTCTTGGAGGTGCACACATGATCGAGGGACCAGAGGACGGATTTTTTGGTGGAGCGGTGCTTCATCTCACTCATTGATGGCGGCGGATCTCAGCGGCATAGTGTTGTGGTGACTCGGCGTCCGATGTACGTGTTGGGGAACGTAGCAGAAATTCAAAATTTTCCTACGTAACACCAAGATCTATCTATGGAGAGACCAGCAACGAGTAGAAAGGAGAGTGCATCTACATACCCTTGTAGATCGCTAAGCGGAAGCGTTCAAGTGAACGGGGTTGATGGAGTCGTACTCGTCGTGATTCAGATCACCGATGATCCTAGTGCCGAACGGACGGCACCTCCGCGTTCAACACACGTACAGCTCGACGATGTCTCCCACGCCTTGATCCAGCAAGGAGAGAGGGAGAGGTTGAGGAAGACTCCATCCAGCAGCAGCACAACGGCGTGGTGGTGATGGAGGAGCGTGGCAATCCTGCAGGGCTTCGCCAAGCACCTACGGGAGAGGAGGAGGTGTCACGGGAGGGAGGGAGGCGCCAAGGGCTCAGGTATGGATGCCCTCCCTCCCCTCCACTATATATAGGGGCAGGGGAGAGGGGGGAGGCGCAGCCTTGCCCCCTCCTCCAAGGAAGGGGTGCGGCTAAGGAGGGGGGAGGAGTCCATCCTCCCCAAGGCACCTCGGAGGTGCCTTCCCCCTTTAGGACTCTCCCCTTTTTCCTTTATCTTGGCGCATGGGCCTCTAGGGGCTGGTGCCCTTGGCCCATGTAGGCCAAGGCGCACCCCCTACAGCCCATGTGGCCCCCGGGGCAGGTGGCCCCACCCGGTGGGCCCCCAGGACCCTTCCGGTGGTCCCGGTACAATACCGATGACCCCGAAACTTGTCCCGATGGCCGAAACAGGACTTACTATATATAAATCTTTACCTCCGGACCATTCCGGAACTCCTCGTGACGTCCGGGATCTCATCCGGGACTCCGAACAACATTCGGTAACCACATACAACCTTCCTTTATAACCCTAGCGTCATCGAACCTTAAGTGTGTAGACCCTACGGGTTCGGGAGACATGCAGACATGACCGAGACGTTCTCCGGTCAATAACCAACAGCGGGATCTGGATACCCATGTTGGCTCCCACATGTTCCACGATGATCTCATCGGATGAACCACGATGTCAAGGACTCAACCGATCCCGTATACAATTCCCTTTGTCTAGCGGTATGGTACTTGCCCGAGATTCGATCGTCGGTATACCGATACCTTGTTCAATCTCGTTACCGGCAAGTCTCTTTACTCATTCCGTAACACATCATCCCGTGATCAACCCCTTGGTCACATTGTGCACATTATGATGATGTCCTACCGAGTGGGCCCAGAGATACCTCTCCGTTTACACGGAGTGACAAAATCCCAATCTCGATTCGTGCCAACCCAACAGACACTTTCAGAGATACCCGTAGTGTACCTTTATAGCCACCCAGTTACGTTGTGACGTTTGGCACACCCAAAGCACTCCTACGGTATCCGGGAGTTGCACAATCTCATGGTCTAAGGAAATGATACTTGACATTAGAAAAGCTTTAGCATACGAACTACATGATCTTGTGCTAGGCTTAGGATTGGGTCTTGTCCATCACATCATTCTCCTAATGATGTGACCCCGTTATCAACGACATCCAATGTCCATGGTCAGGAAACCGTAACCATCTATTGATTAACGAGCTAGTCAACTAGAGGCTTACTAGGGACATGGTGTTGTCTATGTATCCACACATGTATCTGAGTTTCCTATCAATACAATTCTAGCATGGATAATAAACGATTATCATGAACAAGGAAATATAATAATAATCAATTTATTATTGCCTCTAGGGCATATTTCCAACAGTCTCCCACTTGCACTAGAGTCAATAATCTAGTTCACATCACCATGTGATTAACACTGACAGGTCACATCACCATGTGACCAACATCCAAAGAGTCTTGGGTTTGATCATGTTGCTTGTGAGAGAGGTTATAGTCAACGGGTCTGAACCTTTCAGATCCGTGTGTGCTTTACAAATCTCTATGTCATCTCCTAGATGCAGCTACCACGTTCTATTTGGAGCTATTCCAAATAACTGTTCTACTTGGAGCTATTCTAAATTGTTGCTCCATTATACGTATCCGGTATCTCTACTCAGAGCTATCCGGATAGGTGTTAAGCTTGCATCGACGTAACCCTTTACGACGAACTCTTTTACCACCTCCATAATTGAGAAAATTCCTTAGTCCACTAGTTACTAAGGATAACTTTGACCGCTGTCCTGTGATCCATTCTTGGATCACTCTTGTACCCCTTGACTGACTCATGGTAAAGCACACTTCAGGTGCGGTACACAGCATA